GGTTGTACATTGCCTGCAAGCTAGCAAGGTAGCCTGCCATTTTTGTGGGAGCTGGCAGGAGACACAAGACATCTGGGTCAGAGCAAGGGATTTTATTATTCATGCCAGCAGGCAGCGTGAACTTCATGTTCACATGGGTTCTCCATGCTCCCTTCCCAGAGGCACTGTTCAGAGGTCAAGTCAATAAGACGTGCTGGTGGATTTGGATGCGGGAGATAAGAGAACGAAATTTAAGGTGCTTTCTAGGTGTCGGGCTGCATCCACAAAAGAACAAATTGACGGTCGAGGCAAGGGAGGACAAGGACACTTAAGTACTACTTTGAGCATGTAACCGTTGAGATGCCTAATGCATATCTAGGTTCTTAGAAAACAGTTGGGTGCAAGCATTTTCAATTTAAGGGAGGGATTGCTGCTGAAGGAATAGACCTGGGAGGCCCTGTGCGATGACAGGTACTTAGAGCCCTGAGATGAATGAGGTCGCCAGAGAATGCTTTCTGAATTCACCAGACTTCTCGGCCAGTGGAATCACCTGGAGTGCTTGTGAGAAACACAGACTCCCAGGTCCCGTTCAGATCTCGCATTCTAAAACTTTATGATCTATCTAAAGTTTTTGCATAAATTCTTTCACCAATATTTATTGAGTGCCTGTTATATTTCAAGAACTGTGCTTCGTGGTGATGGGTGGAGCTATAGCAGCATTTTGTGGTCACAAAGAAAGACCAAGGGAACACTGAGATCTTGGCAGATTTCGTGGAACCAATGGCCCCGCATCCAAACTTGTCATCATGAGGGAAAATAACCCCCTATTTATTTAGTCCATTATATTGTGGGGAGAGGGGTGTTGCTTGTTTGTTACTTTCAGCCAAAAGCATTTTAACCTAATACACATGTTTTATTACTATATTTATAAATCTAGTAAATTTAAATAAAATAAAACAAATCATTATGATTAATGTTTAATTAACTCAAGTTGAGTAGGCTAAACTCCCTTAAACCATCATTCTCATTTACACACATCACTTATTAAAATCTCTTAGACATTGTAAATTGCTTGTATAGACTTAATAATAGTTGAGTTACTGGTTTAACACTTCAAATAATTGACCTGGCAAGTTTACAACCAATTAAGCCAAAATGTTCTCAGATATTTAAACATCTCTTCTAAATCTAATAAGTTAAACTTACAAATATCGTGAATGTATCCTAAAACTATTAAGGAGCTCAGTCAAGTTTTCTTACATCTTCCAACTTAAAATCACAAGCCCAAAATCAATTTCACGTTTTAAATCAGAGTCATACGTTTCCACTTAAAGAATCACTTAAATAAGAAACACACGCAAGATTATTCCTAAGCTCAACATGAAAGTACCAATATCACGGGTCTGATTTATTTTATCATCGCCATATTTAATTCTAAACATTCCCAGATGCGGAAAGTCACTTACTCAATCAGGGAGCAGATTTTTTACCTCAAGAGAGTCAGAGTTACTGGGTCAGGAACTCATGACCACAATATGGTGAACGTCTCAGATAAGCTGAGGTCCCTTAGGAGCAGAGTCAGAAGGCATGTGAGCGCCCTGACCCTTTCTGTGGTCACTATGACAACAGAGGACATCCTTCCGTGGGCTTTGATTTTAGAACCTTAATTCCAGTCTCCTCTTCACTATTCTTCTGTATTTTTTAATTATTAGAAGAGATGAAAATCAGCAGCTCCACCTCCACCCAAGTGAGCTCACTTCCGTTATTACTTGATTGACTTCGATGCTCTTGGTGCCCTGTAGACATTGCTAGCATATTTCCATGCTGCTCTAAGGGAACGTTAAGGCTGTTGGATTTAATCCTGAACAATTGGCCCCATGCCATGACTCTAAAGTCATGATAATGACAATAACCATTCCCCTTCCTTGGGACTTGTTAGGAATTCCCCAAATAGGATGATAGCATCTCCCATTTCCTCACAACTACTGTATTTGACTCGGCAGGATCTTGGCTCCAGGTGCTGCTGTTCACCCTCCAGTGTTGCCTGCCTGTGACATCCTGTTCATTAGCTAATCTGCCTCAGGCTCAGATGCATCAGCCCCTCTCGCCACTGGGGTGCGGGGAGTCTCCTTACCATCCCCACCTCTGTTCTTTCTAGTCACCTCTCTAGCAGGTAGACAATGGACTCCTGTTGGACTTCCTTCCTCCTTAAAGAAAATATTTTTATTGATTTCAGAGAAGAAGGGAGAGGGAGAGAGAGAGACAGAGAGAGAGAGAGAGAGAAACATCAGTAATGAGAGAGAATCATTGATTGGCTGCCTCCTGCACGCCCCCTCCTGGGGATGGAGCCTGCAACCACGGCAGGTGCCCTGACCAGAAATCGTACTGTGACCTCCTGGTTCATAGGTCCAAGCTCAACCACTGAGTCACACCGGCCGGGCTGCCCAGCCTTCCTGGTGTGGGAGTGAGGGCACCCACCGGACAGCAGAGCTGGAGCAGCATCTGTTTTAGACTCGTCACTGTGTGTAGATAAGTGTGGACTAAAACATGACAAGTATCAATAGTAGCAACAACAGTACTAACCATAATATCAGGAGCCAACCCTGAAAGCTTACCGTGTTCGCCACCATATGCTAGGTCAGTGGTCGGCAAACTGCGGCTCTCGAGCCACATGCGGCTCTTTGGCCCCTTGAGTGTGGCTCTTCCTAAGCCTTAGGAGTACCCTAATTAAGTTAATAACAATGTACCTACCTATATAGTTTAAGTTTAAAAAATTTGGCTCTCCAATGGACATGGACAACAGCGGGATGGGAGCATGAGTGTGTGTGCGGGGGGAGGTTGAGGGTTAATGCGGGGGGGGGTAAGGAAACATTTGTAACACCTTAACTAATAATAAAAAAAAAAAATTGGCTCTCAAAAGAAATTTCAATCGTTGTACTGTTGCTATTTGGCTCTGTTAATATTTGACTAATGAGTTTGCCGACCACTGAGCAAGGCGAATCATCATATTCAATCGCCTCAGGAACTCTGAGGTAAGTGCTACATGTATCCTCATTTTACAGATGAAGAAAATGAGGCTTTAAAAGATTGTCTTCCACAGCCTCCAGCTGGCGAATGCCAGAAGAAAAACTTGAATCAGGTCCATCTGTGCTGTGCTCTGGGGACCGCATTAGTTTTAATTCCATCCCCCAGAGAGAAAGCTGGCTGCAGCACGTCCCAAATCCGTGTCTGTACCTCTGCTCGGCATCTGACAAATCAGGGCTGTTTCCGGCCATAGTGATCTGGGGAGTGGCCAGCCCTTTGCACTCTTTTCCTCAAGGGCCCCTAACTCCTGCGCACTCTAGACTTTTCTTTCCTCCCAAGTGGCTTTGTACTTGAATGACTGTACGCAGACCGCCCCCACAGGCCATATTCCCTCTCCACTCCATACCCCAAAGGCCAAGTTCTCAGCCCACCTGAGCACAGTGAGTTAAAACTACCAAAGAGCTCACTGGGCACAAATAGTTTCTAAACATAAGAAATAGAAGTTTATTTAACTTCAATTTTTTGCACTGTGATGCCAAAGTGTGTTTATTATCCTGCTATTTGGAACTAATAGTGTCTTTTTCCCATTAAATACACTATGAAGTGCAGTGGTTAGATTGCCATTCCAGCCTACCTAGGTCTAATAGCCATATGTACTTTGAGCCAAGCTCATTTACAATAAAGAGTACAGGACAAATGCCTATCATAAAACTAATAATTTTTTTTACAAAAAGAAGAGAAATAAAATGTAAGAAAGTTTATATTTATTAAAATGTGTAGACTTTGGAGAAAGCATGTTTAAAGGAAAATGAAGATAGGGATGGAAGATTTGGGAGATTCTAAAAGAGACTTCTGGGTACTTCAAAAGACTTCGGAGGTGGAGGGCTTGGGTATTTGTAATATCTAATTATATGTCAGAGGGGAAAAGTCTCCCTTTTCTCTGACACAGAGTTGTCACCAGCTCTGACTCTCAACAATGATACTTGGGTTTTTCTTGAGTCGTGTGACTCACAAGTGGAATGAAAAGAGGCAGCTGAGGTCATCCTGAGGGAACTGAGTGGGGAAAAAGAAAGTTGAGGGAGGGCACAGTAGAAGGGGATAAAGAGGTGAGTAGAGTTGTCTGGTGAACAGCTATTTGATCTATGAGTGTGCCTCTGAGTACAGTCCCCCTGGAAGGGAAGACGGGGTGATAGGTGAAAGACTGGTATTCCCAACCTAGCACCTGTGACCCCATCAGCTCTGAGCAGCCTGACTGCTGTCTGAAGAGAAGGGATAAGTGTGTTTTATGCGATGGAGTAGAAAAGAAGGGAGCCATGGTTAGTGCTGTGAATGGAACACATTTCTCTTTAAGGAAAAAAAGAGATTTGTAGTGTCTGCTGATTATGGTGGTGTAAATGCTCCCACTGTGGGCATTTTCAAGCAACAAATGGTTTAATAGTAACTGGCTCACCAATTCCTGAATATTTAATAATCAGCTTCCACATGCTGATGTGAGCTGCTCCAACACACCACTCCAGCAACAGGCAGTGCGACTAACCATGTACATGTTCAGACAGTTGCCGATCCAGCCTCCCTACTCAAGCCTGCACTGTTCTGCTCTGTGTGACATTCTAATTTTTAAATGGTTAATTATTCAAAACTGACAGAATATTCATGAAATTCAGTAAAAGAGTATCTAACAAAGCACACTCTGCCTAAAAACCACCAGAAACCCTAGGGGCAGGGGGCCATTTGATTCGTCTAAGTTTAAATTCAAGAATCATCACAGAGCTGGATTCTTGCAACTACATGACATTTCCTGATGACTGTGCTTTTTATATGATTTTTTTAAGTAAAAGGAAAAAAAATCAGCCATGATCTTTTCTGGACCAATTTAAAACACTTAAACACCAGAGCATGTTTTTAGTAAAATTGTAATCCAGAACATGGAGCCACAAAACACTATAGCGTCTTCAGCAGTTGTTTCTATGTACTTTGAGATGTCTGAGACACTGATCTTACTCTATGTTCCCCGGATCACACTGTCAGAAGCAGGGGTCTCAGACTCCAAGTGCTGGAGAACGTGGAAAGGTTTCTGCATACAGAGTGTGCCCCGCCCCCCTGCCCCCCCGGTGTGGAGTGCTGGGGAGCCTAAGCTCAGAGAAAGGGCAGCCAGAGACCCCAGAGGAGCAGGAGACGGGAGCAGCCGCATCCCCTCCAGCGTCTCCCTGCTGGTCTCCGGCCTACACAGTCACCATGACCTGATCCAGGGGTTTCCGCTTCAAGTCGGGCACCGTGGCCTCTTTGCTGGGGTACCCCACGGGCAGCAGCATCAGCAGCTTCTCATTTGTGGGGCGGCTCAGGAGCACCCTCAGTCGGGGGCCACAGTTGAGAGGAGTGGTAGTGACCGTCACCAGGCCTGCGTTCTAAAACGGGAGAGGAAAAGAGTACATGGAAACTTCAGCAGCAAAGTCCGGCTCTGCTTCAAGGCTGGGGACATTGCAGTCCCCGTTAGACCTGCTTGTTCTTTCAGTTCCCGGACGCTGGCAGCAAAGAGGCACAGGGGTATTGTGACTCTGCCTGCTCTCCCCAATCCCTCCAGCCCCCACCTTCTTTTAACCAAACAGTGGGAAGGTTCTTGAAGAAGAAAAATGCCAGTCTTACCTTTCTTTAAGCTTAAGAAATAGGAATGGTTATTTCATGGAAAGAATTTTGGGGAATCCAGCTACACTAAAGGAATGACAAAAAAACCAAGTGGTCCCTATGATCCAACCATGGACAGAGCGCTGTCGCCAGCTGATAACCCCACATCCAGTGAGAGAGGACCCAGCAGCCAAGGGGGGAGGAGAGAAAATACTTCACCAACCTCTCCCCAAGCCCCCCAGATCATAAACAGTTGATAAAAATCATGTGTAGCCTTAAGACACCTCCGCAGCTGGCCCTCTCCACCGCTGGCCCTCTCCACCATTGCCTCTCCCGCGCCCACCTCCCCTGCTTTTCCAATCACCGCCACGCCTGAGCCAGAAAGTTCTGGAACTGCCTTTGAGGGTCCAGCACAACTCGTCACTATGCCATCTGTCCAGATGAGGGCTTCCGGAGATGTCTCTTTACTCCCTGGCAAATCAAGACCTGCACTCAGAATGCTGCCTATGGAACGCTAGAGGGCAGCAAACTCAACACTAAGGTGGCATAAGGCTGCTGAGTCAAAGGCCTGGAGGCCGTCACTATGCCATCTGTCCAGATGAGGGCTTCCGGAGATGTCTCTTTCCTCCCTGGCAAATCAAGACCTGCACTCAGAATGATGCCTATGGAACGCTAGAGGGCAGCAAACTCAACACTAAGGTGGCAAAAGGCTGCTGCGTCAAAGGCCTGGAGGCCACTTGTGATCTGAGCTCGCTTCTCCCAGGACACCAGAAACTAATCTAATATTGTACATTAACTATAATTGAAAAATAGGAAACTATTTAAAAGTAAAAAAAGATGGATGGAGGTGCCCTGCGGCACAGTGATTCCTTTATTTATTAGTGTACAGAATCAGGAGGGGGGGAAAAGATTTCAGCTCCTTTAGGACAAATTTTCAAGTAATCTATTTCTCTTTTGTGCAACAATGAGCATACTTTGTGAGGTGTTTCTGACGTGCAGACTTTTCTTGGAGACGGTGAAGAAGCCCACAGAGACTTACTGTTCCTTGGCAGTGTGACCACTCAGGTGTACAGTCTTGTTGGCTTGGCTTGTTTACCGGTTTACTATCTCTCTCCACCCCAAGACCCCAGTTCCCACCAGAACACACAGTTCATGAGGCGACTATCCCTGGTGCCTCCCAGGACCTGTCACAGAGAAGGAACTCGGAGGGGATTTGTTGAGGGAATGAACTGACTCAGGTGAAAGGCATACCTCAGCTACTCTGCTTCATGCTGAGTATTGCTCTAGCTACTGGGTAGATGGACTTTTTTTAAGTACATGAACATGTTTCTAATGCAATACAATGTAAACTCAACTTCTCAGGAAAGGAGCTCAGTGATAGAGTCCCCCTTACAGTTTTGAAGCATTTGATCAGCGCAGACAACAGCAAACACAGCTAGGAAACCAGTCCCTGGGACTTGCAGCCTCTGAAAGCGCGTGTCTCCCAACACCCTTGACCTTCACATGTCACAGATGAAGGCAAACAGAAGGGCCTTTCTTCTGAGCCTGCAATGATGTTTCAGGTGAATTTCCAGGAAGAATTTCAGCTCATTGAACCTCTGTATCACCCGCCGGGTTTCAGTCAGTTTTCACATCAGAGTTACCTCCTCAGGAATTCAACTTTACAATAACAATTTCCAAATGTCCCTGAAACTCAGCTGCCCTCTGTGAATACGGCCACCGCTTGGCCCCCAAGCATCACCTCTCTCTCCAGGGCCAGGTGGGAGGCTGGCCTACCTGCAGGGCGGCGAGGAGGATGCCACACGCGATGGACACACTGATCTCATTGTAGTAGTGGACCTTCTTTTTGCCATTGGCAGTAAAACCGTGTACTTGTTTGAAAATGAGAATCAGAACGGGAGCTGTGTCCAAGTACTCTTTAATCCAATTAGTTCTGAAAGGGAAAAAAAGATATTTCAGAGAATATTTGCTCTTACGATTTTTAAAAAATATATATATTTTATTGAATTTTTACAGAGAGGAAGGGAGAGGGATAGAGAGTTAGAAACATCGATCAGCTGCCTCCTGCACACCTGCTACTGGGGATGTGCCTGCAACTAAGGTACATGCCCTTGACCAGAATCGAACCTGGGACCCTTCAGTCCCCACCTGCATCCCTTTTACTGGGGATGGAGCCTGCAACCTGGGCATGTGCCCTTTACCAGAATCGAACCTGGGACCCTTCAGTCCATAGTCTGACGCTGTATCCAGTGAGCCAAACTGGCTAGGGCTGCTCTTACAAGTTTTTGTTCTTTTCACTACTTTGCTTATTTATGTTGCAAATAACAAGGTTTTGCCATGAGAAGACCAAAGCTAAGATTTGACCCAGACCTGATATATATGCTCAAGGCAATACAGGGGTGAGACTGGGCCTAACTTCCATAATTCTTCACAGAGGTAGGTTCAAACATATGAACACCTAAACAAAACCGGGAAACTGACGCCATCGCTGTTTCATTGTAAGAAGTCAAACCAAACATCCCTCACCCCACCACCGTTTGTACCTCAGTTTCTTCAGGTCTGTGACCCATCGTTGTCCCATCCTTTTCAGGTAGTTTATTTTCTCTTCCTCCTCAATGATCTCCCGGATCTGATGTTTCATGTCCGGGTCCTTCACAACCACGAAGGTCCAGGGCTCTGTGTGGGCCCCACTGGGGGCTGTTCCTGTCCCCCATTAAAATCAGAAATTAGCACTGCAGGGAAATGTGAGACCGTGGATTAAGAATATAGAGGGAGAAACTCACTTGCTGAAAATGAAGTTACCTCTTCTGGCAAACAGAGCGCTTGGCGGCAGCCCCTGGTGTGTTGCTGCTGCCTCCTTTCATTCGGCCTCACTGTAGGAGGCTCTGCATCCGCTGGTAGAGTCAAGGCCAGTGGATCTAGGGCTGGAGGGACCTAGCACTGCTTCTCGAACTAAGTGGGAGAAAAAGGTCCCTAGGAACTGAATCAGGACCACAGAGGGAACTCAGAGGGGGAATTGTGATCGCCCAAATTCCCCAAAATGTCATCTGTTTTGACATCCTTGAAAAAGGATGAAGTCATAAAGTTTATGGTAAAATGTAAATGGTTGAGTCGTTTTTAAAACACTCCTCAAAAGGAAATGGCACTTTA